CCTCGTTGTAAAACGACCGTTGAATCCTTGGTTGTAGTGTCCAGTGCATCTTACGTCGGATTGCCCCATGAGGGCTTGCCAAGCGCAGCCGCAGGAGGCAAGGCGGTTGGCATTGAGGGACGCACTGGAGGCGGCGGAGAAGCCCCCGAACTTCAAGGGATGGCTCTTTCCTGGGGCTATCAAGTCGGCATTTGGGGAGTATTCGTTGCCGCCTAGCCTCAGAGGAAATGGACTCGAACGAAGGGTGATAGTGGCGTTAGTATACGTCAGGGTGCGTCTAGTATCTTGACAAATTACCACTCTGCGTAACTCACAACAAATTATAGGAGGCCACAACTCCTATCTCCCTGCCTCTGGTCGTCGAGGTAGAGGCGGGTAGGTTGCGGCTCTATTTCCAGCAGCCGATAACCGCGCAGGTCTTCTACGGCCTCTGCTGGTGGAGGGATCCGTCCCTGCGGTACCGTCCCCAGGCGTTCGATATGTTCAACCTCGAACTCAAAACCTGGGAACGCGTCCCGGCCTCGACTCATCGGGACAACGCGATTTATCTTCCCCTTCCCCTTCGCCACTTTCCCATCTTCAAGCCGTCGTCGATCGTGACCGCGCCACATCCCGAGCAGTTTGCGCGCGGCGGTAGGGGTTTCAGGGCTATTTGCTCGATGAAGGTCGAGTTCATCCCCCACATCAAGCTCTTGTGGCCGCGTGGCCTGAAACACCCTCCATTGTACGTTAAGGCGAAGTGGTCGGTAGGTCGTGATGATGATGGGATCATCGCGACCTGCCCTGGGTTCGGCGAGGAAGGGCATGAGATCTGGGAGGTTGACCCAGAGCCGGAGGATGCGGATGCGGCTGCGGCTGCTTGAGCGGTGGGACCGTGTGCGTGTAGAGGATAGTAACGAATTTACCTTGTACAATGTAGACTGAGCCTGGAACAACGTGTACTACTCTGCGTCAAATATCTATTCAGCTTACCGTGACTTGGGAAACCTTCAGACAGTGATATCTGAGTGACTACCAAAGTATGTATCCATTTCTATTCACTCTACTCGTCATTTTGTGTAGCTACCTGCGACTTCGCGCTGTACGGCGTGCTCGGTGCGGCGCCTGTGGCTGAGCGCCTATTCGTGGGACTTTAATTTTGAACGCTCTGTGGCCGTCATTCCACGCTCTTCAACCTCTAAACACTATCTTTGACTACTCAAACACGACTTCTTTCTCAACTCCGTTCTCACCTCGCTACTCGACATGGCTTCCTACGACAAACGCGTCTTCTTCTTCGCCTCGAAGATAGTCCTTTCCAACTCGAGCATTATCTCACGCAGCCCCGTCTGCCCCCACCGCAAGACGATCAAGCACATCACCGTTCTCTGCCTGGAGGGCGAACACTTCGGCATTCTTTTTGACTATGTGCGTATAATCCTCGTCTTCTGTATTCAGGTTACACTAATATTCCTTTCAAGTGTCCAATATTCCCGTCGTCACAGTGCCCAACGCTGGTGTCGTACTGGCTTCAGCCGGCGATGCAACAGCGGGAGGCCCTGCTGGACGTGTTGACAGAGCTCGAGGACCCTCCGACGCTGGAGGGCTGGCTCTTCCCGGGGGCCATCAAGGACTTCTACCACCCGCTGATGATACCGGAGTTGTTGAAGGCCGACGATGAGGGGAAGGAGAAGGAATTGAGGGTGGTGGAGGTGCTGGTGTTCACTGAGGTACGTTCGATATGTCTGCATTCTCTACGCTTATCTAACTGGTAGCGCTATGGGACGCACTATAGGACGAATGCTTGCCCATGTCCCTGCCCCTCATTTCTGAGGTGACTGGGAACGTGCTGACGCTGAAGTTCTGTCAGCCCATCACCGCCCAGGTGTTCCCTGAGCTTCCGTGGGACAGGGAACGCCAACGCCGTAAGGACAACCCGCCGGCCAAATTCGAGTACTACGACCTCAACAGCAGGTCGTGGGTTCAGGCCCTGGCAACCACCTGGAAAGCCGGCCGCATCAGAATCCCTCTCCCCCTCCGCCAGCTCCCCGTCTTCAAGCGCACGGACGTGCTAGTTACGCGGAAGGAGGCCGAAGACTATTCCCTCGGGCTCCTCCCTCTACCGCCTCTCTGCTCGATGCTGGCGAACTTCTCGCCGCATCTTGAGTTCCTGCGCCCTACGGACCTCAAGTACCCGCGGACCTACTCCGACGCGCAGTGGACCATCGACAAAGAACAAGTCGCGACGTGTCCCAGCGTCTGGGACGAGGACGCTACCGCTGCTGGCTCGGAGACGGGGGAAGGCGGCGGCGAGTCAGAGGGGAAGAACGGCGACAGTTTGGAGGAGTGAGAAGGGGCGGCGGATGCTTGTGTAACGTCGTGACTGGTTGTATCATACAGACATGTAGTGTTCCGGGTCGCAAAAGTCATGTACCATGTACTATAATGAGGCGCAAATAATGTACATTCTTCACAGTGCTTGAAAATGTGGCGGAAATCCCATAGCTCGATACGAGTGTGCTTGTGAAGCGTAGTGAACGGTTGAGACGTACAATCAATTATTATGTGCTTATAGTAGCTACTGAAGCAGATATGTAGTTTTGGTGGTGTCAAGAACTGCAGAATGGACGTATTGACATACGTAAACCGCGTGCAGAGCTGCTCAACCGAGTTCTGTCAGTCATAAACCGCTCTTTGTCGCTCATACCCCAGTTCATGCTAATTGGGAAAAATCCCAAACCATTTGGCGCCGAAAGTGTTTTTCCTGATGTACGCTCGTTCCGCGAGCTCCTATCTCGTTCCGCGAGCTCCTATCTCGTTCCGTGAATCCCTGTACTCGTTCCGCGAGTCCTTGTCCCCGATTACGTGGCGCTGCGTTTGTCCGAAAGATTCTTGATCCCGAGTCGGTCAACACTGACTGACCCAGGGAGTCTCTCCCCGCTCCAGCGAGTGTATGGGGAATGTGCGAGCTATGCTCGCAGATGTCTAGGTTCCAGGTGGGGAGAGCTAAGGTATGTACATGTCTTCGTGGCACTGTATGCCACAAAAGCTGACTAAGAGTCTCTAGTTACTATATATGGTAATCAAAAGCAAATCACACAAAGTCCATGAAGTACAGTAAGGTGTAGGGTATCGGAGGGAACAAGGAAGGTAGTCCATGTGCTCGGAAGGAACATGACAGTCCAGAGAGCCCAAAATAGGTGAATACACATACTGTCCGGGCCTATGTGGGGGCCACTCCCCACATCTCCCCCATACTCGAATTGTGACCGTCCCCGGTCACCTACTCCCCGCGAGGACCCTGCCTAACCGAGAGCAATCCATTGCGACATGAATGACGCGAGTCCATCTGCTCGACCATTTTCTGTGCCGCACCCCCGAGTCGCGTCAAAACCTCGCGCATGTTCTTCGTCCTCGTCGAGCCAGCCGTAGTTCCGACTCGCCTCGGCAATCGCACCCTCTGCGTCTCCACATGGCAGGTACTGGACAATCCACCGTCCGTTCTTGTCTAGGTGACCGCAGCTGATCAGCTCATCGCCGCCCGCCTCCTCCGGGATACTGCGTTCGGCCAACTCCACAAGTAGACACTCTCCACGTCGAGACCCGTTTGTGTCGTTGATCGCGCCATGCCGCCGACCACCAGATCTGATACCTTCTCTCCGCAGCTCCCCCATACCCGAATTTACACTCTGAGATTGCCCTCGTTCCGTTGAACCCTGCATAGTGTGATCTCGGGCCGTACCTAACCAGCGCATGAACCCGCTGCGCAGCCGCTGGTCTGCCTCTGCAACTGCCTTCTTCGCTTCATCACGCGGAAGGGACTCAATGACCCACTCTCCCTGCTCGTCGAGATGGCAGCAGCTGGTCAGCTCATTATCGCCTGCCTCCTCCAGGATGTTGAGTCCCGCCGACTCCAGCCGTAAGCACTCGCCGAAGCCCAATTTTTCTGCGTCCATTGCGATGTCGAGCTGACCACCACGTCCAGCTTCTCTCCCCAGCGCCCCGGTACTCGGATCCACGCTCTGCGGTCGCTCTCGTTCCGCTGGGCTTTGCATAGTGTGGCCTCGAGTTGCGCCTACTATCCTGCGCGTGGACCCGCCGCGCAGCCGCTGATCTGCTTCTGCAACGCCCTTCTTCGCCTCATCGCGTGGAAGCGACTCAGTGACCCATTGCCCGCGCTCATCGAGGAGGAAACAGGTGACCAGCTCGTCATCGTAAACCTCTTTCGTCATCCTGAGCTCAGAGAACCCGACAAACAGGCACTCGCCGAGTCCAGGTTCATCCGTGTCGATCGCGCCGTCTCGCCAGCCTCCAGCCCCCGCACTCTTCCAAAGATCCCCTTTACTCAGCTCCGAACTCTGTGGTTGCTCGCGTCCCGCGGGTTCTTGCGTTCTCGGGCCACCTGGCCCACCTGCTCGTCCAATCTCCCGTTGCGTCAGGTGCTCGGTCCTAGGGTTATCCGGGATCGCTCCCCCAAGTCGCACACGCTCGTGTACCAGGTACTGCGCTAACCATCTGCTCCGCTCGGCGTCCTCGTCAACGGTGCGTGTGTCGTCCTCCGGGGTCCATTCATCTGCCTGCTCAACTTCGCGCAGGGCGGCCTCGGCTTCGAGTCGCTGAATGTACCCCCATAGCCGCCGCCCGTCCTCCGCAATATGCCAGCACGTGACAAGGTCGTCCTCGGGTGCCTCCTCCGGTGTATCGGTGTCGAAGTCGCCGAAGTCCCTAGCAGCCATCCCTCTTCCGGCTCGTCTTTAATCGCGCACTCCTCTGACAAGTGGCCATTTAACGCTGCTGCTGAATCGTCCGCATCACTGTCAGGTCGCAAGGTCCGTAGCAGGTCGACTGGCGAGTCGATGTTCTCGCTGACTTCAGCACAGTTCCCGCCCTCGCACGTACGGTCCAGTGGATCAAATGTACTGTCTTGAGGTTCGTCGCACGTAGCTGTCGCCTGTACTCTGTGCAGCCAAATGGCCTCGTCTCGGTCGCCTTTTCTCGGCCTGAAGCTCGCGCCCTGGTCCGTTTCGCTGACCGTATGCGCAAGCCTGCCCATCCTGCCTCCTTGCCACGGTACATTTGCGTCCACGAGGTATCCGGTCTGCTGACTGCTCGTCCCCTCGTACTTGGAGCGCGCGTCGTCCTTGGTTTCGCTCAACAACTGCTCCCCGGCTGCTATCCGTCTCGGCACCCTCCATGTCTCGCCACGGCCGGTACGTTCATCCGCCCGCTCCCCCATACTCGGCTCAGCACTCGCCTCCTGGTTCGTCTCGCCGCGCGCCTGTACATCCCTGCCTCCCCCGTCTCGTTGCCGCCGTACGCCTGTCATGTCCGCCAAGGGTTCGCTCGGCTGGCAGATCTCGAGCAGGTTGACCTGCAAAACGGCCTCGCCATTGCTGTCCTGCGCGTGCGTGCTCGCTCCCGTACACTCAGTGCGTCCATTCCCTTCCGGCGTGCCAATGCGTGTTGACATCCCAGCTTGACTCCACGGTCTCGCAGCTTCCCGAACCCCGCCATGTCCAGCGTGTTCACCGGCTGGCCCGGGTTCCCCATTACTCAGCTGGATGCTCCGCGAGCTGGTTCAAGTCGCCGTGAGCTCGTACGTGCCCCTCTCCCGCCTCTCGTGGCAACGATTGGTCCGTCATATCTGCCCGGGAACCCGTTTGGCCGGCTGACTTCGACGAATCCTGCTTGTGGTCCCAGCTCTCGCCCGTCTGACTCCGCGATAGCCTGCACGACATCCCTCGCCACCGTTACGTGTCGTCGCCTTGGTACGTCCGGTGAGCCCACCAGCCCTTCGGCTACCTCGCTGGTCCTGAACGAGTTCACCTGTAGAACCGTCGCCCCATC